CCACACACACACACACACACCCACACACACACACACACACCAGCAGTATGTCCTGCACAGCGGGAGGGGAAAGAAGGGCAGCTACAGCCCGAACCCATACATGTCAAAATGTAAGTTATACATATATAAGTTGTACAGATTTTTTGCTAAATTTATGGATTTTTAGGGCTCTTTATACAGGTAAACATCCAAAGAGGTTGACATGTATGCGAACCGGACCAAACTTCAGTCAAACAAGACCCAACACTTTTATGATTTAAACTAGTGATCTTGTGAGCAGCTGCAGCTGTATGCTTTTATTTTTTTATGTCAGGCTGTCGCGGAGCGCTCCACCTCCTTTGTCCAGGGCTGGTGTGGGGTGAGGCAAACAGAGCTCAGCCGAGACTGCTGGAGCTCCAGGTCCTGATCCACGGAACCAACACGAGTCAGTCACAGACTGAGCTGACTTGATCAAGTCTCTCTCTGCTTCTGGTGAGGAGTGGGGTGAAAAATCCTCCACCTCAGACCGTTTTGAGATGTAACTATCTGCAATACTTTGGTCACTCTCCATGTCGCACCAATTATGCTAATGCTAGCTGTCACGTTCTCTCGTCCTGGCCACACCTCCGCTTTCTACTCCCCCTTCCCCACTCACACCCCCTCCCCTGCCCACTTTGATGCATTTTTCACATTTCGCCTTGGGGCGGAGTTATCTTTTCACAGAGGGGTAAGATACACTTTAATTGTTATTTTAATGGCGGAAATAATGATTTACCAAATCCAAACTGTTTGAAAGTGTAATGGAACTAATACATTTATGTTTAAGCAAATGATTCATGACATACTTTAATGACCTAGGTTTTCATGACATGATGTTAATCTGCAGATAGTATGATTAAAGTCAGAACAAGATCTGATAACAACATTAATCATTCTTAGATATCACTGTGTTTATCTTTGTGTTTTCCATTGACCTTGTATCAAATCTTGCTAAGATGACATAATGGTGTTTGTAATTGACATCATAGGTAGACCTCAACTATGAGAGACAAAATGTGAAAAAAAATTGAGAAAATCATTTTGTCTGACTTTTAAAGAATTTTTTTTTTGCAATTAATGGTGGAAAATAAGTATCTGGTCAATAACAAAAGTTCATCTCAATACTTTGTTGTATATCCTTTGTTGGCAATGACAGAGGTCAAACGTTTTCTGTAAGTCTTCACAAGGTTGGCACACACTGTTGCTGGTACATATGTTGGCCCATTCCTCCATGCAGATCTCCTCTAGAGCAGTGATGTTTTGGGGCTGTCGACGGGCAACACGGACT